AACTGTACCTCCCAATATTCGGTATTTTGATGATTTTAGTCACATTTTTCAATGGAATTGCTTAAAAATCCACACAAGGATTTCCTTCTGAGTACTTAACCCTCGGAGAGAGAATTATCTCTATAGGTCCACGATATCATACATCCCCCCCATATAACTGATTTAATGATTTTTACTCACATTTTCCAATAGCAGAATTCTACACAAGGAGTTCCCTCTGAGTACTTTACGCCCCAAAAGAGTAATTTCTATATAGGTCCACGATATTGTATAGCCCCAATACAATGGTGGCCCCACGATATTCGTTATTTTGGTGATTTTACCCACATTTTCTATGGAGTAGTCTGAAAATCCACACAAAGAGTTCCCTCTGAGTAAATTTTTCCCCCTGGAAGAGAATTGTCTATATAGGTCCGAGGTTTTAGTATAGCACCCATATAACGCTACCCCGAGATAGTCGAAATTTTCGCGACATTATTCACCAGAATTGCGTCATCGTATCGTATTTGAAGTTTGTAAAGGTTAATACAAATTGTGACGGAAAATTGTCTATGCAGGTCCACGTCTTAGTATAGCACCCATACAACGATACCTCCCTTCATTCGGCATTTTGAAGATGTTAGCGATCTTATTCACCGGAATTGAGTCAAATGTTGTATTTGAATTTCGGAATCGTTACTACAGCCCATGACAAATTACATATCCAGCACCACGTCTTCGTATAGCCCACACATAACGGTGCCTTCCTTTATCCGGTATTTGGATGATATTAGCAACATTATTCACCGGAATTTTTTCAAATTTCGTAAATTTGCAGATCCACGTCTTCGTATATCTCCCCCCCCCCAATAAAAAAAAAGTTCGGCCAATCCGAACTTAGCTACTTTTTTACTTGTTTTGACTAGAGTATGGAGAAATGGTGAAATGTGGCTAAATGGTCAAGTGTGCCACAGAGATTTTAATGTAGTCATTGTGTACTAATTTTACAAACAGTTAAGTTAATCAATTAAGCCCATTTAGCTGGAAGATGGAATATGAAGAAGTGCTAAAATGATGTGCCTTAAAATAACTTCAACAAATGTCAAGTGCACCCCAGGACTCCACAATAGAAGTGTACAATACAAGAAATACAATACCAATACAAACTTTGTTTTCACTTTGATGAATAAGCTAAGCTTTGCTTTTAAAATCATTGAACCATACATGAAATTGAACTTTAACAATATGTTTTGTCGCGGGAGAAAAACAACGTGTTGTGTCACACACACACACACACACACAAATAAAACAAGTCCTTGATATTTATTCGCTCCATAGAAGAAGAAAACAAATCTGTGCACATTTTAGGTTAACAATGAAACCAAAAAAAAAAAAAAGAGGAAAACTTCTGGTGGGGAAATAAAATTGAATTGAACGATGGTGGCAGTGCAACAAAACAGAAACCTAAAAATGTCATTTAGTTTTCTCTTTTATGGTTTTGATTTTGATTTGTTTTGGCCTCGATTTTGTTTCTTCTTCGAACAAGGTCAATTTATTATTAGACATTATTTATTTTTCTTTATTTGGACGATTGGTGTGTGTGTGTGAAATGAGAACTTCTAGATGCCATGACTATCTATGGCGAATGACTGATGCTGTGGCCGTAAGGATCATTAATTATTCTAAAATGACATGTTTCAATAAAAATTGGGCGCCAAAAGATCTGTAAAGAGGGGAGTTACAAAATAGAAATAATACCGTAATTTTTCGAAATAAACGCGGATTCTTTGAGTTTGGAAGATTTTAAAGGTAAAAGAAAAATAAATGTGAATTTAGATATTTTGAAGGTTTTTTTTTTAATTTTCGCCAATTTCAAGATAGTAAAACGAGGATTGTATAACAAACGTACATAACCTAAAAAAAAAAAAACAATAAAAAGACATTTTTATTTCTTTTTGTCCAAAACGAACAATTAAATTGCTAGGATCTAAAATACAGAATAAAGTGATTTGTTACACATTTTTGATGAGACTTCATAAAACCCTTTTTTGAGGATCTAAAAGGATAATAAACGAGTATTTTTGGGTATCTAAAGGAGATTTTAGCAGATTTTTTAAGAACCCAAGTAAGAAAAGAATCTTGGATTTTTGGGATCTTTTTTTTGTGTATTATTAGGAAAATGAAAAAAGTGAAATTTTAAAGGATTCTATGCGGATCCAAACTTTTACATATTATTTTAAATGAGTTCTGGAATATTTCAGATTTGTAACGACTCTATTTCCAGCTCGCTGCGTCCAGGCAGATTTTTTTTTAATCTGTGATCAGAGTAAAGGAGACTCATTTTTTTGGTTGAGAATCACCTTTTTTTTATTGGGTACTATTCAATTTTGATTGAGGTTCTAATGGGCTTCGCATCGAGACCTAGAACGGAACGCAGCCACTGTTTGCGTTTTTTTGGGGCTCGTCTGGGGAATATAAGTGACCTACGAAACACGCTTATACGAAACTACTTGACTAGAAATATAAGTGACGTACGAAATAACAAAAAGCGTGAAGAATTTTAAATGAGGATCCGGAGAGAATAAGATACTCGATTTTTATACCCTGCAACAAACAGTGGTAAGGGTATTATGTCTTTGTCCATTTGTTTGTAAAATGGAGAAGGAAGCGATTAACGGATCAAATTTAGATATAGCTACCATATATTTTCAACCGATTTCAGGTTAATTGTGCACCAAATGGCCAATATCAGTCCAAATGACCTGAATTTTGGCACATCCGATCGAATTCAGTGTAGGAACAAGTACATCAAATTTGCTGAAAATCGGTTCAGATATAGTTATAGCTCCCATATATTTGTTCCGCCGATTTGGAGTTTTAAGTCCCTCACATACGTAATATGCACTCCACAAGAATGATATTTGGTAGCAGATAACTTATGTTCCTCAACAATACCTCTGTCAAATTTTATCGAGATCGGATCAGATTAGGATATAGCTCCCATATATAAGCGCAAATTGCCATTTTTTTTCCAATTCCGACTGAATTCTTCCCAGAAACAAGCACCAGCACAAATTTGGTGAAAATCGGTTCAGATATATAGCTCCCATATATATGTTTTATCCGATTTGGTGTTAAAGTCCCCCGCATGCGTAATATGCACTCCACAACAATCATATTAGATGCCGGGCATCAGATACTGCTCAAAAATACCTCTGTCAAATTTTATCGAGATCGGTTCAGATTTTTATATTGCTCACGATATATGTAATGTCAGCCCAAATTAAATAGATTTTTTCATATTCAACAGAATTTTAAGATTTTTGTGAAACTCGGTCCGGTATGTGTATTGCTCCAATAAATATTTTTTATGCCCTCAGTCATATGGCTAGATAGGTAGATAGGTATCATATGGTACGGCCAAAACGTGCCTCATCGAAATAACGGTGTTAGACCCCAGGTCTCTTTGGACCAAATCCGTTTTAGAACATTTGGAGTCGATCTAGCGATGTCCGTCCGTCTGTCTGACTGGCTGGTGCGCACCATAACTCTCGAAGGGAGTATCTGATTTGATTCAGACTTGGTACATCGTAATATTATTATCAAACTTAGATCAAGTTCGGAGATGGGAAATATCGGTCCAATCCTTCTGGTACCTTCCGCACAAAATGTCAACATTTTCAAAAAAAAAAAAAAAATAAATAAATAATAATAATAATAAAATAAATAATTTACTGCACAGAAAGAGAAAGGAGATTTTGCTCCAACTTTGCAAAACCTAATATTGGGATGAGTGCTACGTCAGGTGCAAAAATGGACTATATCGGTCCACTCCATACAGTACCTCCCCCCACAAAAGGGTCAACATTTTGAAAATTATAACGCTTATAAAATGTGAAATAAGTGTCCGATTATCTTCAAATTACACACATCACAATATTTTAATTATAACCCTAGGTCAGGTGTGAAGATGGAAGGTATCGGTTCACTCCTTCTGGTACCTCCCCCACAAAGGGTTAAAATTTGGACTATTCTTGAAGCTCATAAAAGGTGAAATTAACATCATATTCGATTCAGACTTGGTTCATCTCAATATTTCCATCAACACAAGATCTGTTACAAAAATGGTATATATCGGTCCATTTCTTCTGGTACCTCCCCCACATAGAGTTCAAGATTTTTGAAAAACCACTCTCCTCCCAACTTTCTTCAAATTTCACACATCCATTCATTGGTGGTGAGATATGTCCATGGCTAGACACGACTGGCATGTCTTTGTTTTTATTCCCAATATTTTGTTTTTATTATGTGTGACCTCAGACAATATTTTACGTTAGATATTGAAGTCGAGAAGTCACACAAACACACGCTTAATGCGAATAAACTAAAAATAGAAAAAAAAAAAAGGAAATGGAAATGGCCTTGGGTGGTTGGATGTCGATTGACTACAAAAAATAAACTATTTCAAGCATATTCTCTTTGGACAAGCAAATTAAAGAATTACTTTTAAGCCACAGGTATTTTAATTGGAGGAAACACAAGAGGTCAACACCACGCACACACACATACAAATTGTGGCCATTAAATGTAGAATGCAATATGCAGGTTATTGAGGGAGGAAAGCATTTTACTTTAACACTACAGATTCACAAGCTTCAAAGGGAATTATTTCAAGCGGCATCATGCAATTATTTCGGTTTTATTATTGCAAAGCAATAAATTGAGTAAAAAAGAAAATCTCTTATATTCTCTAAATGATTTTTGTTGGGTGATGTTTTTTTTTTTTTTTTGCGGTACAACCTACGTGATGAAGAGCCTTTCTTTATCTTCTTTTAGTCCTTTGGAAAAGAAGAATTCAAAAGAAGAGGATTTGTAAATAAAACACTACGAATTTTAGTTGTTGTTTGCCATGAATTTTGTCGCTCATAAAGTAGTTCGGTGACATGCATGTGGTAAAATGTCGGATCAAGACTATAAAAAAATAATTAAAATTCTTTTGTTTTTCGTATTTTCTTTTACAGAAATTTGTATTTATCCTCCTCTACATAAGTTGAAAGCTAACAAAACACACATAGACAAAATGTCGGATGAAAAAACTGCTGCTGTTGTTGCTGAAAGCAATACCACCACCAAGGAGGAAACCACCACTCCTGTCCCTGATGCCACCGATGCCAGTTCTACTGAAAATCCTCCCACATCTGAAGCTGCCCTTGAAAGAGAACGTTCTGAGAAAATTCTCAAGGCCAAAGAACTCTACAGTCATGGTTCACGTAATTTCCTGGTCAAATCTTATGCTGAGGCAGCTGATGAATTGAGCCAAGTTTGTGCCCTTTATGGAGAGTTACATGGTGAATTGTCCGATGAACTGGGTATGCCCTATTTGTTGTATGCCAAATCATTGATTGCCTTGGCTTTGGATGAAAACAAAGTTATCGATGTCCCCGATGAGGAGGAGGACGACGATGAGGAAGAAGAGGAGGTAGAGGCGGCTGCAACAAACGGAGATAAGGCCGAAGAAAATGGCACAAAATTGGAGACAATTAAAGAAGATGGGGCCGTAGATTCTACAGAGAAAACAGCAGCAGACAAGGCCAGCGAAGAAAAGCCCGAGGAAAAATCCGAAAAAGCCTCGGCAGAATCAGAGGTTAGCAGCACAGAAGAAAACAAAGAAAAGGCGGCTGAAGAAGAAAGCAATAAGGCCACAAATGGTGTAAGCACCAATGGCACGACTGTGGTGAATGATGGTGAAAAACCATCCACATCAAATGGAGAGACTGGCGAGGATGCCGTCGATGAAGAAGACGAAAATGAGGCGGTAAGATCTTGCTAAAATTTTCAGCATGAATAGTTGTTAATTTTATTCGTTTCCAGGCTTCAAATCTCCAATTGGCTTGGGAAATCCTGGAACTTGCTGCCAAAATCTTTTCACGCCAAGGCGAGGCTGGTCGTGCCAATCTAGCCGAGGTCCACACCGAATTGGCCAACATTGAATTTGAGAATAATGTTTTGGATTCGGCACGTGAAGATTATCGTAAGTAGTTGGTGAAATTTAGTAATTTTATGTTTTGTTATCATCCCACTATTTGTTTTGCAGAAAAAGCCTTGACAATCTATAAGGAGTTGCCCACAAACTATCGCCGTGCCATGGCCGAGATCCACTATAAAATTGGCTTGTCTTTTTTAATGCAACAATCAAATAAGGAAGGCGCTGCCTCTCTAAAGGAGGCCTGTAAACTAATTGAGGGAGAAATTGAGGAAATGAAAGCCAAACCCGATCTTAGCGACAAGGATAAGAACAATATCCAGGATATGGAGGAAACAAAACAAGAAATCGAAGCGAAAATCGTTGAAATTGAAGAAACACAGGCTCAGGTAAGATAAATTCGAACACTCTCGGAGAAGTTCAAACTTTTTGAAACATAAGATTTCTACTATTTTTAAATATGTGGAAGACCCAAACAAGTTGACATTTATTCCGACTATTCGTCTGTTGAAATCAGGATAGAGCTGGATCAATTAAATTTAGGGGTTTGAAGATTTATTGATATTGTTCTTAGCATGAAAATGGAAAATATCGGCCCATATTTAGGTATTAAGGATGCCTCCCCAAATCTCCAACCAAATCTGGTTAATTTGCTATTTTTCTGTGGGTAGGTTTACCCCTCGCAAAATATATTCGGTGTAGGTCTATGTTTATACTCTACACCACATAGTGGTAAGGTTATTATGTCTTTCTGCATTTGTTTGTAACATGGAGGAGGAAGCGAGATAGACACATGGATACTTTTGAGGATCTTCATAGAATAACTTTCTGAGTCGATTTATGCATGTCAGTCCGTCTGTCCATATATTCTTGTGAACAAAATGCAGGTCGCATTTATTATCCGATTGACATGACATTTTGCAAATAGTATTTGGTCCAAGGACGAACCCTATTGAAATTGTTGATGATCGGATTAGATATATAATCGGATTAGATATATATCTTCAACCGGTTTCGTGTTTATTGGGCACCAAATGGCCAATATCAGACCAAATGACCTGAATTTTGGTACATCCGAAAGAATTCAGTCTAGAAGTAAGTACATCAAATTTGATGAAAATCGGTTAAGATATTGCTATAGCTCTCATACATATGTTTCATCCGATTTGGGATTTTAAGTCCCTCACATGCGTAATATGCACTAGACAAGAATGATATTCGATACCAGATATCTTATAGAGCTTGAAAATACCTCTGCCAATTTTTATCAATAATGGTTCAGATTTGAATATAGCTAAAAAGCCCTGAATTCTGGTACATTCGACCGAATTCTGTCTGGAAGCAAGTACATCAAATTTGGAGAAAATCGTTTCAGATATAGCTATAGCTCAAATTTCCAATGTTTTATCCGATTTGGCGTTTAAGTCCCTCATATTCGTTATATGCACCCGACAACAATGATATTTGGTACCAGATGTCTTGCAGAGGTCGGAAATACCTTTGCCAAATTTTATAGAGAATGGCTACGATTTGGATATAGCTCCCATATTTATCCTTAATCCGACTTCAGTTTTATTGTGCAAATAATGACTAATTTCAGCCCAAATGGAGCGAATTTCGTTATATACGTTTCTATTTTGTGGAACTCGGCTCCGATATTTTTTTAATATAATATAGCAATATAGTTGGTATAAAATATTAAAATGCCTTCCTCAAATTTAGTGAAAATCGATTCAGAATTGGATATGCCTCCAATATATTATTTCCCTAAAAAACAAACTATAATTACTCTAAAGCCAAATGTTGATAGGTGGTAAGATCTATTTCAAATAAATTATTTTGTTACGGGAGCTCTACTAAATAAGCATATGGTCGGCCCCGCCCGACTTTTGACTTTTCCTTACCGGTTTAATATATCCCCCATTCAGCAGTAGCTATTGATTTTCGCAACTTTGGAGTTTTCTGCCCAATTTCCAATCACATCAGCTGTAATTTTGTCTGCAGGAGATATTTTGTCTTGGCCCTTTGCTGGTCCTCTGTATGTACACATTTTTATAGGACCTATAGGTCTTATGTCTATAGAAAACCTGTGGAAGATTTTCTATCTGTAGAATACCTGTATCAGATCTACTATCCATATCAAGTATGTAGAATATCCTCAATATATAGAAAACCTGTTAAGTATCTTATTTCTATAAAAGGTCTGTACCAGATCTTCCATCTGTGGAAGGTTCTTTTATATGCATATGTATAAAGCATCCATAGCATGTATAATGCATCTAGAGGGTCTTATGTCTTTAGAAAACCAGTATAAAATCTATGGGAGGTCTTATATCTACACAAACCCTGTAAAAGATAATTTGGAATTTAGACTTTAGTCCACTCAAAAATATGCAATGCAATTCTACGTTTTTTGGTACTTTGTAGGATTTTGCCCCACTTTCCTGTCAAATCAGTTGTAGTTGGAAATTCTAGGTTTTCAGTGTGTAGTTTAACTTCCTTCTTGAAATCCTGAACATTTAACGAAAGTTGTGCTGGAAATATATTTAGAAGAGAAGATCCTTCTAACTAGAGCAAATACAAAACGCAGATCTATGAAGGATCTATCTTGGGGGTATCAATAAAAGGTTTTCTACCTTCAGAAAATCTGTAGAAGGTCCTCTATCTTTAGAATGCCTGTATGAAACTGTCTATAGAAGACCTGTAGAAGTTATTTTTTCCAAAGACATGACCTGTGAAGGTTCTGCATAGGGTCTTCTATTTCTATCCGCTAAAGGGTGGAAGGAAGAAAAGTTTAATAGGTCTGTTAACAAAATATCTTTTCTTGTACTTTCTCTCAACATCATTTATAAGAATTCGTTCTCGTTCTCCACTAATAAACAAACGTTGTTTTTATAAAAACAACAATAAAGAGATTAAGCCTGACCATTTTGCAACAACAAAATACTATAGTATTCCGAACAAACAAGCCAACACTGTTAAATTAATATTTTGTATTTTTCACCTTATTTTTTTTTGCAGAACATTGCTGAAGTGCGGGCAGCATTGGATAGCTACATTAAACCCATGAGTAGTGGAGATGTCGATGCTGGCAGCTCCAAGTCCGCTAACGCAACTGGAGCTGCAACTGATGGCGGCGCTATATCCACATCAAGCACTGCGGCGGCAATAACTTCATCCAAGCCTACAGATATTTCACATTTAATTAAACGTAAGAAGCCCGAGGAGGGTACATCTGAAGCCGAGGCAGCTGTTGCTTGTTCACCGGCCAAGCGTCCGGCGGTATAATTAAAAGGCCTAGCATAAATTAAGTGCATTCCAGCAGCAGCAGCAACAACATTTGGCAAAAAATGGCCTCCTCCCTCAACTCATTGTAATCTGTACCACGTTGTCCACCACAGGCCACCTTTGTATCAACTTTTTCCTTTAAAGCTTTTTTTAACATGAGATATTTTATTTTCCTTTGTTGTGTCCAGAGACAGGACCAAACTACCTACCACAACCTACTTACACACACCCACACATTTACATATATATATTTTTAAGTCTTAAGTTGAAATTGTTTTCTTTTATCTGTTACTCGGTTGTATCGGCAAAATTTATGTTCCTGCACTGAATTCTGTTTTCTCTTTTCTTTATGTTTTATAAAAAAATATACAAAAGAAGAACTTTTACGCTCAAACTTTCTTTGCAAATTAAGGAGTATTTTGTTTTGTTTGTTTCATGAGCATTTTTCGTATTGTATGTCTATGATGCCCTCATTGAAAAAGTTTTGTTTTATTTTTGCATTTTTTTTTTCATTTTTTACTGCCATTTTTTAATAACTGGAAAAATATAAATAATTTCTTTTAGTTTCCTTCCCCTAAATTTCATCTCAATTTTCATGAAATGCCCGAGAATTTCATTGATATTCATGTGAAAATTAGCTTCGAGACATTTTGTTTCCCCCCGCACATTCGAATCTAAAGCTTGAAGCTTAAAACTCTCATTACAAAACACATAGTATTTAAGGTTACCTCTACTTATACAATTAAACATAAACAAATAAAATAAAACTTTTTATTCATAAAAAAACCCCAAGAATTTTAAATTGTAGTTTTTTTTTCAAAATCCCACAGAAAAATATTCCTTGAAGTAAGAGCGTAGCAGCGGAGATGGGTGTGGGTATTATTATCTTTTCTTCACCTTCAAATTTTACCACATGCATGTCACGACGCATCTTCTCTGAAACTTTGAAAAAGCAAACTTAGTTGCAGTTTTTTTTTCTTATTTTTTTGTGTTTCTGTTGCCTTTAATAAACATTCGCTCTACTCTATATAAATATTAGTATGGTTTGTATATACATGGATATACATAAGTTAAGTTAACAAACACCATCTGTAATGTGTATGTATAGATGTTAGATATTGCACTAAAGTGTAGATCTTTTTTTTTTGTTTTTACCAAAGGGAAAGAAAAATAGAGATATATAGAAAGAATACGGAGAGAGAGAGCGACAGACACAAAAAACGGACACTTGATGAACACATAGATTGTACCATACGTACTTAGATGAGGCTGCAAGGTGGTCTGTGACTCACTATGTTGCCAATCGTTACGTTGCTCCTCGCCACGAGCATTCTCCATCGATCCGGCCAAATAGTTGAGACATGTCGGTGCGCTACGTGGAAATTTCGGATGTCTTCTCAGTTCTTGTATCTCGTGTAGGGGTAAATCTATACAAAGGGTCCAAATGCCGCCATGCATTGGCACCAGAAAGAGATTGTCACGTCGAAAACGATGATCAGCTAAGAGGAGGAAAGGAAGGAAGACAAAGGTTAATAAGTAAGTTTTGGATTTTAATATTTTTTAAAATAATATGTTTTATGCAGGATAATATGTTTTTGCAGAAAAGTATGAACTAGCTCAATTTGTCTAATACCTGGCGAAGCTCTATATCCAACCAGGGGCGTATGAAATGAATTCCATTTAAAATGAAGCAATACTTCCTAAAATTGAAAGAAAACTTCCAATTGAAAACCTGAACAATTAGCGAAGTTGGGCTGGAAATATATTTAGAAGAGAAGATCCTTCTAACAAGAGAAAAGACGTACTGCAGATCTATGGAGGACCCATATTTGGGGTATTAATAGAAGGTTTTCTGCCTACAAAAAGTCTGGGAAAGGTTTTCTATCCGTAGAATGACTGTATGAAACTGTCTAAAGAAGACCGTTAGAATATATTTTGTCTACAGCCCTGATCTTTAAATATTCTGCAGAGGGTCTTCACCTTTTATCGGCTAAGGGAGGATGGAAGACACGTTTAAGAAGTAAGTTTTGAATTTCAATATTTTTTTTAATTAAAAAAGTATGATTCTTATCTTTCTTTCAATTTCTTGTAGGAGAGCATGAGCTATTCCATATATAGAAGACCTGACGATAATTGTCAATTAAAATTTGTCCAATGCCTGCTGAGGCCAGCATGCCCAACGAGGGACCTATGAAAGGTATTCACATTATAATGACCTGTAACATATTTCAAACTAAAGCTGATGGAAATCTTCCTAAAGATCTATAGATGGGTTTTATCTATGGAGTCCTGTGAATGCTTGAACATCCGGAGATCTTTTAAATTAAACAAATACTGCAGCGTTTTTCAGGCAGAAATATTTGCTATCAGAAAAGCCATGGAGCTGTTGGGAAACATAATGAACTGAAGGCTTTGAAGGCTCTTAATTTTGTTACAATCAAATATTTGGCTGTTCTGGAATGCAGAAATGCTTTGGAAAAGTTTCAGTCGTCTGTTAAATTTTGTTGGGTCCCTGGTTATTGTAACATATCCGGCAATGAATCAGTAGATGAATTGGCCAGAGGCGGATCTGAGTCAGTAGATCTAGAGATCGATAGCTAAGTAAAGCCACCATTGAGTCACTTCTTTCAAGTATTCCATAAGCACTACCTTTGAGGATTCAATCAGAACTGGCTGATTGGAAGGGGATGTAATATCTCCAAAAAATATGGGCAGTGATCTTTGAATGAAGATCAATGTCACTCATCTCCTTGACGAAATCTGACCTAAAGCTTATGGTGGGCCAATTATAGGTCACGGAAACATCGACGACACCGAATACTGCAGGCTCTGCCAGGACGAGGAGGAAACTGAGACAGTGGAGCACTTACTCTGCCACTGTCCAACTCTTATTGGAGTCATACAGAGGTTACTTGGTAAGTAAATTCTACCCAACTTGTCCTCTTTTTCTGAAATCGAGCCAGCAGTTTGCTTCACAGAAGTCCTGTAAAAGATCTTCCATCTGTAGAAGGCCTGTAAAGGGTCTTCATTATATAGAAGACTCCTATAGAGTCTTTCATAGAATTCTGTCCTCAGAAAATCTCAAAAAATGGTCTCACATCTATAAAAGTTTAGTAGAAAATATCGCACATTCAAGGAAGACTCCTCTAGTGTCTTCTATTTTAAAAACATTAGTAGAGGGTCTTCTGGACCCTTTAAATCTTCAGATTTATCTCAAGATCTGTAAAATGACTTATATCTATAGAAGTCCTGTAAGGGTATTATTTATATAGATGTCTCTTATAGTGTCTTCCATTAATAAAGCATCTATTTAAGGTCTTCTCCTTAAGGACCTGGGGAAAAAAGAAGTTCCTTTAGTTATGGAAAACTTGTGAGTCTTTTTATTTACAGAGGATATATGGAAGACTTAAAATATCCTGTATAAGGCTTTCTATCAACTTAAGATTTGAAGAGACCTGTAAATGCTCTCCTTTAAAAAAAAGATCCTAAAAGGAAAAAAACGTTTTATGTACTCTCACCTTAAGGTGAGGATTTATGTATTCTCACCTTAAGGTCTTTTATCCAGAAAATTCTAAATTAGAATATGTCCTTCTTTGCCAAAAAAAAGTTTTGAAAAATATTTTAGAATTGCTTTTTTTCTGCTTTCTTAAATTAAACTACAAAATTTTAGTTCAGCTCCCAGTTAACATTCCAAGCACGTGCCTGTTGCTGTTGCTGCCGCTGCTATACCAAGCACGTTGTTGTTGCTTCGACATCCTCTACGTGATACTTCCGCAATTGATAGTGAAAGTAGCGAATGGAGAGCCAAAATCGATTTAATCGCCATGGCAAATAGAAAGAGCGAACCAAGGCAGAAGAAGAAGAAGCCAGAAACGTTCTCCTTCACTACAACTTTAACTACATTTGAAAGTAAAGTTTTCATGGCTGGCTCTTGTGTGTGTGTGTGTGTTTGTGACATTGGGCCATGCTTTAACTCTTCGCTTTTTTTGTTGTTGCTTAACGTGAAGTTCACATCATCGCATTATTAGCAATTTTCCCTCGATTTTGCCAAGCCTCCCCAAGCTTTGTAGCGTCGCACCAAAGACTTTGGCACCAAATTGAAGGTGAAACGTCTTTCGCGTTGTTGACATGATGATGGGTTTGGCCGGGAAAGTCACGTCAGCCCATAAGGTTAAGTCGCTCTAAATGTGGTATATAAACTCTGTATTTTTTTTTAGAGAGACGTGCCAAGGGAATTCATGAGACAGGTGCGCCGGGCGTCAGGTATATGATTTTAGTTCTTGTGGTGGTGGTGGTGGTGCCACAGCCGACGACGATGGCGGAGTAAGGTATCCAGCCGGCTTTGATATGTAGATGTGTGCACACATACATATATATGCATGAGTGTTTGCATTTGTTATCGCAATAGTTTATGTCTCCAATGAATAAGGTCAAGGTTGTTGTTTCCCTTTATTTATACACTCACGTATGTGTGCTATGGTTAGTTATTTAATTCTATATTTGTCTGCATTCCTATCATTGTCGACATTGTGGAGAAAAGGGTGTTTTTTGATTTGAATTTAATTAGGCAACAGATTAAATAGAAATTCTAAAAATAGAGCCATTGGATCAAAGTATTTGTGTTTGTAGTTTGTAGAACTTTAAAGAGGAGACCGACCACTATTGCTTGAATTTTTTCCCCCAAAAAGGAAAGCTACACTGTTGTGTTATATTAAAAATATATTGCTCTTATAAGAAAAATGACAAGGAATTTATAAAAGAAAGTGTCTAAGCCTAGTTCTATAATTAAACATCTAAAATAGTATCAATCGGCTTTGCCGACAGATGTATACCCAATATTGACCAATTCGTATTTGACCTAAGACTGATATAAATATTACAACGTGCCAGATTTGGACTATATCGACTACTTCCTATGCTTTATATGAGATATGTGCAATTTTTTGGATATTATGGAAATATGCCTGAGGTAACACATATAGCGGACCGAAGTATTCCATTTTCATACTTCATCTAATACATCTAATACATCGAACATTAACAGGGTGAGATGAAAAAACTGCAACCAACTTCAGACTGCTGTCATTTACAAGTCACTCGTCTGACAGCTGTTAAAATTATTCCAGTGACAGCTCATTATATTGTTTACAGGCGTACAAAAGCATTTTGATGAGAACTCTCCAGAAAAAAAAGTTATTCGTGTTGGACCTCAAGCGTGATAGTGTGATTTCTTTATATTTGGCTGCAAAACCACAAGTGGCTATCATTAGAGCACTCCAGCATTTAAATGTGAATATATCTTTTGTGTCTCGTACCATCGCTCATTACCGTGATACTGGTAGCGTAGCCCGACGTCAGGTGGAAGTCGAAGGAAGAAAACAGCAACATCAGCAGAAATGATTCGAAAAGTGAAAAAGTAAAGCGACTTGATCGAAACCCACGTCGCAGTGGCTTGTGAGCTGAACATATCACAATATTCCATTCGCAAATATTGAAAAATTAGCTCGGGGTTAAGTCATTGAAATACCAAAAAGTGCAAGAACTTACACCGCAACAAAAAGAAAATAGACTCAAAAGAGCTAAAGAGTTGCTTCGCTTGGCCGAAAGTGGTGAACTGCCGAGCTTGGTTTTCTCCGATGAGAAAACATTCGTTGTCCAGCAGTTTGTAAACAAAGTGATCGTGTTTACTTGCCAAAGAGGTCAGATGAAAATGTGCACCTTCGGTTGGCCACCAGAACTCAAGCGCGGGCCATGGTGGTGGGGTGGGCCGCCATGACAGCTGGTGATCGCTCTCTGCTCGTATTAATCGACCGTGCCATCAGAATAAACGCGCGAATATTATCGCGAAAATATTCTGGAGGGTGTATTAAAGGCTTGGGCATGCAAACATTTTGGCCGCAGACCTTGGACATTCCAACAGGACTCAGCACCATCGCACTCAGCACGCGCCACCCAAGAATGGTTACAAATGGCCACCAAAATCTCCGGATATCAATCCGTTGGACTATTGTGTCTGCAGTATTAGGGAAAGCAAGGTTGGCACTATAAAATACCAAAGTGTCGATCACCTCAAGCAAGCGCTTCGACGGGAATGTGCCAAAATACCGCAGAGCAACATTCCCGGCGCTTGAGTTCTGGTGGCCAACTTAAGGTGATGGTGTGAGCCGCCATAACAGACGATGGTCGCTTTCCGCTCGTATTAATCGACATCATCGTGGTATCAGAATAAATGCCAAATATTATCGCGAAAATGTTCTGGAGGGTGTATTAAAGCCTTAGGCATGCAAACATTTTGGCTGCACACCTTGGACATTCCAACATGACTCAGCACCATCGCACTCAGCTCGCGCTACCCAAGAATGGTTACGAAATGAGGTTTCTCGCTTCATTTCCGGCGCACAATGGCCACCAAAATCTCCGGATACCCGTCCGTTGGACTATTGTGTCTGGAGTATTTTGGAAAGCAAAGTTGGAACTAAAAAATACCAAAGTGTCGAGCACCTCAAACAAGCGCTTCGCCGTGAATGGGCCAAAATACTGCAGAGCAACATTCGGGCAACTTGTGACGGTTTCATTGGCCGTTTGAAGGCCATAATTCGTGCCGAAGGTTACCAATTCCAACAAATCTAAACTTATTCTAGAATTTGATGCTATTTCCGAAATTGTTTGCTTTCATTCAATAAAATTTAAAAAAATGTAAAAATTATTGCGTTTGACTTTGTTGCAGTTTTTTTTTATCCCACCCTGTATATCTCTCATAACTTTCGAAAAAATCAGCAATGGTTTTCTATAAATATATCTTAACCAGAGATCTCCTTCCCACTTCTCCTTCTTCTAGCACCTCCCCCCTAAAGGGGTCATCAGTTTGAACACTCATAACGCTAGGCTGAGGGTATACATCTGTCGGCAAAATCAACTGATACTACGAGTATTTTACTTGTTTTATATCTCATTAAAAAAAAACCAAAATCAATATTTCTCACTCACCTCTCTTGTCCGGTTTCAGCATGGCCACTGTATCCTCCATTATCCATTCCAATTGCAAATTCGAACGATTCGAGTATCGCTCCAGACTCGCTCGATCCCATTTCACATGCTCCCAGTGATCGGTCATTATGGCAGCGCATAGCATTGCTGTGGCACTGGTCGTCATCAGCAGCGTTACGAAGAGGAAGAGCAAAGGCGGTGGGCCCATGCAACAACTTGAGCAACAATTTGATCCGCCAACGGTACTGGTCACATCCATGGCCGAATTGAGCGATGTGGGACTGTCCAGATCGCCACCGCCACCCCGTGTCGATTGGTGCATCATTATTTTCGAAGAACAGCTGCTGTTCCGCAACAGAATGCTGTTGCTGCGACGCAACGATTCAATAGCTGCGGCCGACGAACTGTGCGGATCGTATTGTAGTGAGCTGGCGACCACAGCCGAGGGATGCTCATAAATGCTGTTGTGGCGAGAGGGTGAAAAATAGTAACAAGTTGTTTGTTGTTGCTGCTGCTGCTGCTGACTGTATTTTGCGGAACTGTTGCTGTTGCTGCTGCTGTTGTTGTTATTGTTATAGCCACCACCACAACCGATGAGACTACTGCTTCTACCACCATTACCCTGAGCCACCGCACCATCTGCCGGATATTCATTGATTGTGCTTAGGTCCTCATTGCTGGACGAGTAGACAATCGACTGTTTGAATTGATTCGAATAGCAGTTCTGCTTGAACGACGATGAGACAACGGCCGCCGGGTACTGCGAGGGGCCCTTGGGTGCGTTCGCATACAAGGCCTCGTAGTCGTAGTGATGGGGATTGCGATAGATCACCGGCCAGGAGCGGGTCGTCTTCGAGTTGTGGGAATAGGTGGTGTAGGTTGTGGCTGTTGGCGTTGTTCCGGCGTTGGTGGCAGTGGAGGCAACGGTGGCGGTAGTGGTGGTGGCGGCGTTAGGGGCGGCTTGTTGGTAGTAGGTCGTGTTTATGCTGTTGTTGGGCGAATTGGTCGACGATGTTGAGTTGGCCGCATATGCCGGGGGCTCTTCAGCTGGATGCTGCGGTGTCACCACAAGCGGTGTCGTTTCGTTCGGTTGACTTTCGGCACTCGTTTGAGGCGTTATGTTCGTTGATGTTGCGCTGCGTTTACTTTTGTTTTGTGCTGCTGCTGTTGTTGTTGTTGGACTTGTTGCTGCTGTGGAGGCCTGTTGACGTTGCAGCACATTTCTCACCGAGGCTGCAATGGTCGAACAGGGCCCCTGGGCCGAAATCGACTGTTTGAGTTTAAGGGGTGGCAAGTGCCGGCTCGTCTTGCTGTTTGGCTCGCTGGTACTGCTGCTGTCTGCTGGCGCTGCTGCTGCTATCACAATGTGGGTGGTAGTTGTGGGTACGGCGGTAAGTTCATTAAAGTCTTCCTCCTCGACGAGAGTGGCTCCTGAGGGGGAGGGGGAGGAAATGTTTGCATTAGTGTTGTTGCCTAGATTTGGGGGACTGTCGAGAGAGCTATTTGGACTATTACTTTTGCCTTGAATTTTGTTGCTATTCTTCAAATTCTTGATGTTGTTGCTGGCGTTGACTTGGTTCTGGCTGAGGATGATGTGGTGGTGGTTGTGGTGTTGGTTGTTGGCTGGGGTGTTTGTGTTCGAGTTCGTGTTACTGGATGTTGTGGGTATGTTTTGGGAATAGCTATAGTATTGAGTGGGTGAGAAACTACATGAATTGGAGGAGGTGGTGGTGGTGGGTGTTGATGCTGGTGCTCCGGAGGGTGGTGCGGGGCCTTTTACATCCTGGCCATACAGACCACTCTCACTGGGCGAGGTGATGCTCACCTCGGGCACACATCGAGCCGTCACCTTATAACGACTGCCCGTATTGCCAAGGCCCAAACCCAGAGCACCCTTGGTACGCACCAGTCATAAATCGGTGTCACGTTTTTTCATTTTGTTGGCATTCATGGCGTTCTGTTGCTGGTGACTATGGCCGTGTGCGGCAGCAGCAGCGGCCGCCGAAATGGTGTTTGGATTTGTCTTCGTGGTGGTCGTTATTTTGCAAGGATGCTGCTGCTGCTGCTGGTGGTGGGGGTGGTTGTGGTGGCTGTGATCCAATGACTGTGGCTGCGATTGAACCAATTCTGATGCTGCTGGTGCGTTGTGTGTGCAAGTGTAATAGTGGTTGTCTTGGCTGTCTATGTCACAGGGTGTAGGGGATCTCGGTTGTTTGTGTATTTTATTGATTTTGAAAATGTTTGTGCTGTTTTTGGTTTTGTACCAGGCGACGACAAGTGCAAAATAGAAGCAGCGAAATGCTGTGTAAATGGATTGGTGGTTGGGTGTCTAAAGTGTTTTCTAGCTGCCAATTGTGTGTCCAATAAATGGTGGTCTCTAGTTTGGATTTCCTTTGTTTGATTTGGGAAATTAGTTCTCTAGGGACTACACTTTTTACAGGAATTGAATTTTCTGTTAAGTAGAGATTTCAAGTTGTTTCTTTCTGATACTCCCGTTCTTCTTCCGTTTGTTTGTTTGGCAATTGTGTTGGTGTTGCAATTGTGATTTGGTGGTTTAGAGTGAGCAGAGAGCAAGTTAGAGAGAGAGAGAGAGAGAGAGAGAGAGAGAGAGAGAGAGGCAGAGAGGCTGGTGTTTGTTTTCAGTGTTCGAGATGGCGTCTGTGGCCGTTTTCAATGTGCTTCTCGGTTTTTTGGAGTGTTTCAGGATTTGCTCGCTTCCTAAGTAAGCAGCTCAGTAGTTTGTTTGATTGTTAGTAGTAGTAGCAGTTGCTGGTTATTAACACGTTTTTTGGTTTGTTCTTTGTACAGTAGAAGGTTTGGATTTGCTCAAGCGTTTGCTAATATTTTTTTGGTTTGGTTTGTATGTCAAAACTATTTTCATTTGCTATAGAAGTGGTTGCTCTATTTAAAGAAAAAGATAAAGAATGAAACAAAGAAATATTCAAAAATAAATGAAAAAAGAAAGAAAAAATGAGATTAGTATCAGGTTTGCCGTTATCTGATCGTATGGTAAACCAAGAAAAGAGGAAGTAGAAGAAGAAAGTTAAAGCAAGCTATTGCGTTTATATATAAATTTAAGTATTTAGATGTTGAAGCATGGATTATAGGTAAATAAAAACTTGATATATTACACATATAAGAAACTACTATATTTTATATTTATTTAGTTATTATTATAGGTATGTAAATACATAAAGTTTGCTGGAAATGAGGCTGATTTAATTTTGTGTGGTTATGAAATTATGAAAACGTGAATAACTTCAAACGCATAGAAATTTACAAGCGATATAACTAAAATTATTATTATTATATTAAAAATTATTATTATATTAAAAATTATTATTATATTAAAAATATTAACTAATTCCTTTATAATTAAAAATATATTGTTATTTTTTTATTTTAGAAATATACAATGTTCTAGTTTTGGTAAGAAAATATACAGGACATCCAAATGGGAAGAGCGACCCTCCTTTTAGTTCATAAAACCATTACGAATAATAACGCTACGCAACAAATGTCAGCATTTTCAATAATAATGGTAAAAATCCAGCAGATTATGAAAGAAGAGGTAAAACAAGTTAAATAAAGTCAGTCGGTTTTGCCGACAGGTGTATACCCCCAGCCTCGACTTATGATTATTCAAACTTTTGATCCTTTATGGGGCAGATAAAAGTATTGAAAATTGTGACTCTTGGTGGCTTAAGTACTAGCAGGGGTTCATAGATACATATCATCTTCACAAAAGATCCTGCGTTAGCAAAAATATTTGTATGTTTGAAATTTGAAGAGAGTTGGATACTTTCGCTTTTTCGCTTTCTTTCAACGTTTCTTGAACCCTATGTGAGGGAGGTACCTAAAGAAATGGTCCGATCTCTACCATAACAGATCTTGTGTTGATGGAGATATTGAGATGTACCAAGTCTGAATAGAATCGGACGTTAATTTCTCGTTTTTTGAGCTTACAAATTCCACCCTCTGTGTCAGAGGTACCAGAAGGAGTGGACCGATATATCCCATCTTCACAGCAGATCTTGTGTTATGAAGAGAACTGGATGCTTATTTCAGATTTTATAATCTTTGTTTATTCGAAACTTTGACCATTTGTGGGGGAGGTACCAGAAGGAATTGCCTGATCTCTACCTTCTTTATAACAGATCTTGTGTTGATGGAAATATTGAGATGTGCCAAGTCTGAATGGAATCGAATGTTAATTTCGTGTTTTATGAGCTTTATTTATATTCAAAATTTTGACCCGTTCTGAGGGAGGTACCAGAAGGAGTGGACCGACATATCCCGTCTTCACAGCAGATCTCGTGTTAGTAGAAATTATGAGATGTGTGAAATATGAAGAGAACCGGATGCTTTTTTCGAGTTTTATGATCGTTTTTGTTATTCAAAACTTTGACCCTTTGTGGGAGAGGTACCAGAAGGAATGATCCGATCTCGACAATCTTTATAACAGATATAGTGTTGATAGAAATATCGAGATGTGCCAAGTCTGAATGGAATCGGATGTTAATTTTGTGACTTATGAGCTTCATGAATATTCAAAATTTTAACCCATTGTGGGGGAGGTACCAAAAGGAGTGGATCGATATATCCCATTTTCACACCAGACCGTGTGTTAATAAAAATATTGTGAGGTGTATAGTTTGAAGACAATCGGACTCTTAGATCACATTTTATAAGAGTTATAATTATTCAAAATGTTGACCATTTGTGGGGTAGGTACTTGTTGGAGTGAACCGATATTGTCCATTTTCCCACCTGACCTAGCACTGATGCAAATATTGGGATTTGCAAAGTTGGAGCAAAATCGGACTATTCTTTCTCTTTATGTGCAGTAAAATATTTTCTTTGAAAATGTTTACAATTTGCGGGGGAGGTCCCCGAAGGAGTGGATTGATATTACCCATCTCCGCACTTTTGAGGATCTTCTGAGTCGATTTATGCATGTCAGTCCGTTCATGTATGTATTCTTGTGAAGAAAATGTCGCATTTATTATCTGATTGAAATGAAATTTTCCAAACACTAATGTTTGGCCCAAGGACGAACCTTATTAAAATTTGTGATAATCGGATCAGATTTAGATATAACTCCCATATATCTTCAACCGATTTCGGGTTAATTGTGCACCAAATGGCCAATATGAGTACAAATTGACCTGAATTGTGGCACATCCGACCGAATTAATTCTAGAAGCAAGTAGATCAAATTTGGTGAAAATCGGTTCAGATATTGCTATAGCTCCCATAAATAATTTTTATCCGATTTGGTGTTTAATTCCCTCACATTCGCAATATGCATTCGGCAACAATGATATTTGGCACCAGATATCTATAGAGCTCAGAAATACATTTGCCAAATTTTATCGAGAACGGCTATGATTGGGACATAGCTTCCATATATATCCTTAATGCGATTTCAGGTTTATTGTGCCATTATTGGGCTAATACCAGTTCAAATGGAGTAAAATTCGAGACGTATGTTTCCATTTTATGGAACTCAGAACATCGTCCAGAAACCAACTGATATTTTCTAATTCTTTTAATTTAAATATTAAATCATAAAAAATCCCACCCTCAGAGATAGATATCCAATATCCTGCATGATTTATTCGCTGTATCACTTTAATAAACTAAATTTTTATTTTTGCGGAATTCGTGTCATATCATGAATTAATAATTTAATTTTGTCACAAATGTCATATTGCATTTATTTGTCCCTGCACTTTTGTCCCCATTCATCCCTAACCCTCCCCCCCAGCTCAATATCGATGCGGTTAAAAAGCTTTGTGGCTCTAGTTTTGTACACGGTTGCTCAAATGAAATAAACCATAAAACTTTATAGAGCATAAAATGCCGTACCAACAAACAAAAAACCACATGCTGGCTACATATAGTACTTAGGCGGTGAATTTAGTTAGTTTACCTTGGTATTAAACCTTTGGGGAGCGGCGAGAAATTTCATGTTTTTTATTATTTTTTTTTTTGATAAAAATTTGATGCATTTTTAAATAGGAGAATATGTGTCAAATGTGTAGTCCGTCATAAAATCTATTGCCAAACAGCCCGAGAGGGGTTAAACATTTACTAACACCCACCCATTTCGTACCATTTCCAAACATTTATGCATTACCCACTCAGGGATGCAATCATTTCATAGCTATCAAATTCGAACCATACAAATCCAAAAGTATTATTAAATTAAGAGAGTGAGAGAGAGCGGCCTGGAGGGAGAAGGCGAGAAAAACATAGGTTACGAATTGCAGGTCATATTTTCAATTGACTTTGAAGTGCATTGCAATGGAATAAATCGAATGAAATACAATTTTATATTGAACAGAAACCAACAAATTAAGAGAGGCAGAGGAGTTTTGAAATAAATTCATAAAATACTTTAATTACTATATTGGATGCAATAGATT